CTCGTAGTACTTTGAGCTCATGTACTTGTCTTGGAGCTTCGCTTTCAACCATTCATGCTCTTCATTTGCACGCTTGAGAAGCAGGTCGACCTCTTTCCGACATAAATCAACCTTTTCTGGGATTACGTCTTCAACGTGTATGCCTTGGATGCGAGCACGAAGTGAGGCCATGAAGCAGTCCAACTTCTCCTCAATCATGAGATATTGACTATTCTTCAATTTTAGGTCGCTATCAACCTTCCAGGTGACATTGGGCTTCGGCGCAATGACTTCGTACATCGGCACGGGGTCGTATTGGATTCGAAGAGCAACGTGATTATACCCAAAGTAGCGGACATGGTCCTTATGAATATCGTGTGGGCATATACCTGCGCGAGGGTGGAGCGGCGTGCTCCAAAAGGTCAGTTCGAGATACTTTGCGAAAGAATATCTCCAGCTCCATTCGGACATGGGGAAAGCCTGGGTTTCCTGACCACATATCCTACAGCAGCTCCACATGAGGATGGTCTGATACATGCCCTTCAGTTTTGGAGGATACTTCTGGACAACCACAGTCATTTGGCCATCGCCGTGTACATATTGACGAGAATGGTCAAGCATCCTTCGATCGCAATTGCCTACTTCGCAAGCAACACCGGCTGAAGTGCAGAGGTCCTCCACATACTGTCCAAGCGTACAGTCTGGCGTAAAGCCATCGTCGTAATCATGTTCTTGGTAGAAGCCGAGGGCGATGATCTCCGGTCCAATACATGGAGTAGAAGTTATCGTGTTGACCACGCTGTACAGGACGGCAATTTTTTGATGATTGAATGGGTCGTAGAGATCGGTATTTCCAGAAAGATATTGCTCCCACTGACGTCTTTGGGTCATATACTGTTGCATAGCTCTGTCATACTCGGATTCATGCACAGCAGATAAAAACTCTCGAACCTGCTTGGATGCCTTTTCAACAACCGTGTGAACCATCTCAGGTTGCACGAGCTCGAATTTCTGACCCACCTCCCCAGCCTTTTCGTCGTCCTCGGGGCCGTCAGCAGTGTACTGATTTTTGAGCTTCTTGAGATGCCCTAGTTTCGCTTCGTACTGACGAGCCTGCTCAAGCAGATACGGCTGCATGAACTTGACAAAAGGCGACGAGGATAGGATCTTTGTCCGGTGATTTTCAACCATATCGCTGTAGTAAGAGGGGGCGGCGTCATTGGACTGATCTTGATCGCCCGCCCGTGGAGTGGCAGAATCAACCCCAACATTCTGTGCTTGCCGGTCGTCTTGCTCAGTGGAAGATGCAAGAGTACCAGTCATAGAAGTTGTAGGTGTATCTATGAACTCGTCTCGCATTAAACAAGTCTCCAGACGAAGGTTGTAGACAACGTAAGTCATGAACTCGGTGATGCGTTTCAACCTCGAAAGTTCCTCACTCTTAGCCCCCCTCAGAACGATTGTGCATCCGAGCTCCTTTTGACATCCAGAAAGAAATATGTATGTTTTCTTCACATTGCGGTGTACATATGTCTTTACGTCGAAGCTGCTGCAGGATCCTAAATGGGATGGATCTATGGCGAGCTTGTCAACTGATGAAATCATTCTCGAATTCGTGCAGCGAGCAACAGCGTTGAGCACTGTTGGTTTGACATTGTGCACCACGGCTATTCCCTCTTGTTCCAGAAATTCAAGGGCGAGGCCTGACACATTGCGCTGCACCAACAAAACGTGGGGTTCGAGAGCCACTATGCGACTGACCAGATTACGAAGGTATTCGCGCTCCTGTGCAATGACAGGCTCCAGGCTCATGAAATGTGCTTGATGCCGTGCATATTCGATTGCGAAAGTTATGATGGCAATCCGTGGATTGGGTATGCTACGTGGCATGCTTCGTAGGGCGGCGTTCTTGGTAAACACAACTCCAGAGATGTACGCCGTGTCCTTTGGTTTTCCACCTGGAATTTTCTTCAGTTTGATATAATTTCTAACGTCAATGTCGTCCCCTCGGTCCACGTCAGGATTGACATCATCCGTGCATTGCCGCAGAATTGGAATTAAGGTCTTTTCCCAGCTGGATGCGTGTGGTACGTCCGAGTCGTTAAGCATCTGAATCAACAATTTTCGCGCATGATCAAGACTAGCTTTGTTAAGTTCGACTTTGGGCGTCATGCCTTGCATTGATGCACTACGCGTAATCCTTGATCCCGAGGGTGTCGGTGAGGGAGATGGCTGCAGCTGCGGTGTGCCTGGACCACTAGCACCATAGCCAGTATAAGGCCTCAGCAAAGTGTTGCTCTTGGACCGTCTTGGTGAGGCTCTATGTGTCACACTGCTCACGCTGAGATTTCTCCGCCGAGATGGCCGGTTGCCATTACGACTCGTGATGCTGACGTTGTCTGCGTCTCGAGCGTGCCCTGTGCCAACGACACTCCTGTCACCAGCTCTAGATTTTCCCTTCCTCATTGCAGCTAGGATACCACCCAACCCACCCTTTTCAGTATCGAGGTTTGCACTAGCAGCCGGGTCTTCCCTGAGAGTTGCAAAAATGCTGGCGTGCTCTTCTTCACTCGAGCCCTCATCAGACATGAATGGTGCGAGATCTGGATCAATGATATTATCGTGATGGAAAGCCGACAGACTGGGTTGACTGCGTGAGTTGTCATGGTATTGATGAAAAGGTGCTCGATCATCATGCTTGACATTTCGCATGTGCTGATGTTTAGAAGGGTGTCTTTTGTGGCTAGAGGAGCGTGGCCGGCCTCCCATAGACCGTAGAGAGCGCGAGGAACTGGGGCGAGCTAGTGTTGGAGGACCAACTTCTATAACATGCTGCCGACGCTTCTTTTCACTGCCAATCTTTCTGGACATGGGAATGCTAATAGTCGGTGTTCCAATTTTGGTGTAATCACTCTCAACGTGATCAGGCTCGTCATTGTCCGAGTAATGAGCCTGATCACCATGGTCGTACAGGGAAGCCTGGTCTCCGTCATCTGTAAAATCAGAAGAGTCCTCGTCGTGGCCGTATATGATACTTTCACATGGCTTGCAAACTTTGAGATTGCTCTGTTGACCAAAGATCTTACCAGAGACAATCGAAGTGCATTTGGAATCGAAGATTTGTCCACATGTCCGACAGTGGTGCTTTCGTCTAAAGGTAGTAAATGCATCGCCACAGTTGAAACAGGCTTTTGCGTTCTCATCCCGCATCCAAAATTCGCGATCCAAGATTTTCCTCCGCATCTGTGTAAAGGTGCTCCGTGCTGCGCTTTGTCCCGCAGGTGCAGCCTGGGTCCGGCGTTGAATCTCCTCGATAGGAGGCACGGTAGGAGTACGGATGGTTGAGGTGGTTGGGGCAGAGCTCAAGCCATCGGAAGAAGAAGCTCTTGAGAGGTGGTAGCCGGGAAGGTGTGAGGGACCGACCGAAAGCAGGGGCGGACGTTGCGGTTCAAGTTTATGTAATGAACCTTGGGAGTTTGCGGTAGGATGATTGGCTTGGGCTGCCTCTGCAGACTTCTCAAGCTGGTCTCTCGCCTTGCTGGCCGCAGAGCGAGGGGGTTGGTATTGGCTGTCTGTTCGAGAAGTAACTCTACTCAAACTATCACGGGAGGCATCTGCTCCATTTTTGAACCTGGCACCATCGCTTGCGGAGCCTTCAAGCCCAGTAGCCACCATACCCTCATCACCTATGTCATTGTCTTGGTGTGCAAGATCTCGAGGCGTGTTGCTTCTCGGCAGGTCCGTGTGGGATGTCCCATGTGCTTTGGAGTGAGTGCTGACAGGACTTAAGACGTAGGCATCGTCCTGTCGAGAAGCGGACACAGTGTCGAGGGTCGGGGCAACGGAGGGTCGAGATCGGGTTGTAGAGATAGAAGCCTTGCTTGTTATGGTTGTGCTAGAAATGTTGGAGTCGCGCGAGGGAGGAAGAGCTTCAGCAAAGGTAGCTGTCGCTGGCGATTGCAGTCTCGATGATGGCCCGGACGCGACAATGGGCGATGACACAGAAGTATTACCAGGGCTAGAATTGGCGACTCCATGCCTTGAGGATGGTGGCGTAGCGGTCTTGCCAGCAATGCCGCCGTGCCCATCTTGGGGCTGTTCCCTTGCACCTCCCACAGAAGCGCGCAAGCGGCTGTACAAGCCACTGAAGCCACCCTGAACCAGATCGATCCCCTTGGGCTCGCCAACAACAGAGGGGGCGGGGGGTACAGTGAAATCGTCGAAGGTGGTGAGCGTATCGGAGCGGGACGCCGTTGCGTGCAGCTGGTTCAGTGAGGGCTGCAGCGACCCCCGCCGCGAGTCGCCCGACATGGCTACTGGCGAGGGAATGGAGGTTGTAGAGAGTAAATCAAGGCGGCGGGCGGGCGACGGCAGTAAGTGAAGGGCGGCATCAGGCTTCACGGAGGATCATGGGCTGATAAGAGGTGAGGTAAGGTGGAAGTCTAAAGTTTCGTCACACTTGCACACAGGCCTACCGCGTAGGAAGCGAGGGCGGAAGGAAGGAGTCGAGGGCGTGTCACAAATGGAACATGTTGATAAAAAAGGATGCCAGTTGGTAAGGTGTATAGGCATAGAGGAAGGATAGGCTACAGCGACTAGTTGCGGCAGAACAACTCGTGATGCTGCGGCAGAGGCACCGTCGACCTGCTAGCGGGCTATGACGCGCCGCCGCCAAGCCCATTCCGCCCCGCCGCCCCGCCATTTGCCAGGCCGCCGCCCCGTCACAGGTGCCCAAAGCATGCCACTGCGGTGAAGAGTAGGCGCGCGCCTGTGTGAAGCAAAACCATGGACAGATTGAGAGAGTGAGAGGAGAATGAAAGAAAGGAATGAAGCAAGAAAGAAGAACTAAATGCATAAATAGTCTCTAGGCTACCTCCAAGTCTACGTAGAGCGTCTGCCATGTCATTGCCGCCGGTACCTCTCAACTGCACTTTGTCGCCCGTACCATCCTTGCCTGGCTTGCCCAGAGTAAACGCGTCGCGTCTCGCGCCCACAACCACCAAATCCACACTCGGTTATACATGGCCGTGCAGCTGAACGCCTGGCTCGCGGATACCTTTGAGTGGCAGCTTATACTAGGCAATCATTGGCTGCACGAGAGATACGAGAAGAAGAAATCAGGCGTCAAGCCTGAGCGGGACAGGGCCTGGGAGGGTCTCTATCACGACAACGGCTCCTGCTTAGACATTGCAGACTACATCCACCCCGAAGTCGACAGGCCATTGCACGTCCTCCAGGTGCGTGTCACGTGCCTTTTGTTATGCATCTTCATCCTCCGCATCTCACCTGATTAATCTGCCCTTAGACTCAGCCCTGGACTCTGACTGACGGCCGATGCCGCGTAGTCGCCCATCTCACGCCCGACTGCGCTCAGGACTTTGCTATCCGCTACCCCGCGTTTTCCTGTTTGGCTCCCGGTAGCACTGTTGCCGTACGCAGGTACACCATCAGATACACCTCGTACGGGCCGCCGCGCTCAAGATTCCGTTTCTTGCTCCATCAGATTGACTGGCTAGGCGAATGCTGCCAGACGGTGTGCGACTTACATAGTAGAGAATTGCCGCCTGTGTATTGCGAGAGTGCAGTTGTTACGGCACAGAAACAGTTGGACGATACCCGCACGCGGGAAGACGGTCGATGCCTGTCGCGTAGTGAGGCGCAAGTGGACGACATCATGGCTGATACTATGGATGAGAGTCACGATGTGCCAGACAGCACTACCAGTCCGGCCTCTCAGATGACCCATACTCAGGCAGCCTTTGGGACTCAAGTACAACATCCAATTCGAATGCTCGCCGACGAACCCCAGGTTATTGGCGTAACCAGGCTCGAGCCAGTGCTGGCAGGGAACACACAAAGAGCCGAGATTCGGCAAGACGAAGCCAAACGTGAGAAATTGATGAGCATAATCAATAGAAAGCAAAACCAGATTCAACGCAGCACAAATGCATCATCTCAGCCGCGATTCGTACAGGGCGCATTTGGTCGGAAGAAAAGTGTCCATAGAGCAGCAGAGTCATCCTTAGAGCCAGCAATCGAATCACCAAACCAAGGTGCACGCCGCTCTACAACAGAGGGCAGAGATGCCCAAGACCTGCCTGCTTTTCCCAAACATAAGGAAAATCCCAACAAAGCGGTTTCACTCTCCATGTCCAAGGATGGAGAACCCACGGAGTCTGCTCCGGCGGTAGGTGAGAAGGACGCCCATATTGATTCTGAGGAGAATGCTGCTACAGGCTCAAAATGCTCTTGGATGAAGGGCTTCATTTTCAATAGCGAGACCCTCAAGGTATCTGCATTGCAACAACAGTGCTTAGCGAAAGACTCGAGCTGGCTGAAGCCTCAGCCCGGTTGCCCGCCTTTCCAGGATGGAAATATGCCACAGTCAATCCTCCAAGCACTTCATAGGATTGCAGATGAGCGAGAGAGCATTCAAGATGACGGGAACAGCGACGCTGAATCTGATATTGACCCTTCACCCGATAGCGTACCGGTAGGAATCAACCTCTCTGCAGAATCGGTACCCCAGACCACTCAGGATGATGATGACTCGAGTGCTGAGGTTTCTTCTTGGCCACCAAGTCCAGAGCAACCGCAGAAGCCGGCGAACCGTCACCTGGACCTGCCTCCAGATTCCAGTGCCGATAGCCAGATGCCAGGCATGGAGTCGCCCTCTAAGACCCACTCTAGTCCATTGAACATACGACCACGGCATCCTGAAGTTATCGATCTCTCTGATGACAAGTCCACTCAGCCTCAGTCTTCGCCGCCAGTTGCTCAGCATCCTGCAGACTCTGACGACGACATGGAAATGGAGGGATGTGTACCACGAGCATTAGGTGATGATGTTGCAGAGAACGATAGCCCGTCGAAAAGTATTCCCGTCGTTTCCAGCCCCAAACCAAATCGATCGCAATCTGTTGTTCAGGTGAGGGAAACACCTTTTGGCAAAGGTAAAACAGCACAGCTTTTGCAACATGCCCCCCCTATTAAACCCATTTCAAATCAAGCGCAAGACTCCAGTGGTGAGAGTAAAGATACGTCTTCCACCTCCATTATCCAGAGTACTTACGACATGCTGGACGCTGCAAGTTTTGTTCAGATCGCGCCAAGTCACACAGATAAGGCAAAACCCCCGATAAAACAACAAGCCAGAGACCCACGAGAACGAGAAGAGATGCACGGCCGAGTGACTAAACATGCAATTGAACGTAGTCTTGGAGATGTGCAAATGCATGATGAGGCTTTAGTTATGGAAGCGACAGCTAGTATGCCTGGGATTGAAGGGAATCGACGAGTTTCAGAAGACTTGTTGGTCAAAAAGGAATCCACCTCCATTCCAAATATGACCTTGGAGTCTGTGAAATCGCCACAAAAGGAATCCCACTCTAAATTCCCATTAAACACACCTCAGCCCGCATCAGGATCGACCAAACGCAAGCTCCAAGTGTCACCAGCAAAGAGTAATCGAAGACACACAAAGCGAAGGGAGATCAAGATTGTCGGCTTCGGAGACAACTCGCCCGTTACAATTGATCCAGTTGTTAGGCTGCGTGAAGAGCGAGAAGAATCCCTCCGCAGATATCGAGAAAATAGAAATTCGAGCACAAGTTTCGAGAGTCGGCCTGAAACTACAAGAGCTATCGTGGCGGAACATGATGCCGATGCTATGGATCTGGATAACGCGGATAGGCCCGACAACGGAATGAGATCTATTAGTAGATCGCCCCGACACCAGAGCCTGTATGATGACCCAAGTCCTGTACCTGTACATCGGACTGGATCTACTCAGCCACGGCGGTTCTATGAAGAAGCTCAGTCGAGAGAAGAAGTACAAATCTCACCAGCGAACAAGTACCCGACTCAGAGCAAGCAGCCTCGAGGCACTTTTGTCCTATCTGACCAAGACAGCCTTGTAACAGTCTTTAAATCTTTCAAAGCCGCATATCCCGAATACAAGGGCGATACAAAGCACTTCTACAACCAATGCAAGCAAATCTACGTATTAGATTTGGAAGACAAGATGGTGCCAAAATGGCAGTGGGATGACTTCATCATCCGCAACAGAACAGACTACCGCGACTACGCCATGGGGTGTCTCGACCGCGGAGAAAACGCTGAACCCTACCATCGTTTCTACAAAGACTATATCCGAGATACCCTATACCGAAAAGGCATTGTCGAAGGCATAACGACACTGGAAAGAGCATTTGAAGAAGCCGGCATGACACTCGAGGACTTAGACACCGCAATCAGCCCATCAAGGAAACAACTACCAACGCGAAAATCACTTCCTGGCTCTTTCGGCCAGACCAGAAAACCGCGTCAAGATCATTTGACTAGTTCGCACGCTCGACCTCGTCAATCCCTCCCATCGAGCTCATACGCGCACCCCTCCTCATCAAAACATGCCCGCCCACAAGCACAAACAAAGCTTGCTCGTGAAATCAGTCCTCCCAATCGACCAGAAGCCTCCGAGTCCACCGGCGACCCCTACCGCGACTATATTCACGGTCTCCAACGCATTACTTCTTGGACTGGTAGTAATAAGGTAAGCTCTTTCTCAAACCCTCCTTTCCCACATCCTTCCTTCCTTGCTTCCCTCTTTCCTATCCCTATCCAAAAAATACCCCCATTCTCCCTTGCTTCTCCTACCAGAACCCCATGCCAATCGAGAAATTAGGGTTGAGAATGACGTTTTGTTTGTGGGCACCAGGTCGATCCGAATAAACCTTGGCCTAGGAATCTAGAGTGCAGACCGAGTATCGAAGATGCACCGAAACGAAAGGTGGATGTTTTGCTGTGGAGTGATGTTTTGGGTAAGGAAAAGTGACAAAGTTGGCATTTGTGAATTGTAGATGTCTGCATATGAAGAAAGGGTTTTTTTATGTCTTGTTTCTTTTCGGAATGGATCCAAGAGACTTGAGAGAGAGAGGAACGTGCATGGATACCCCGAACAGCACCTTTTTGATCCCAACTTGTTGAAGAGGAGAGAATAAAAGTTAGTAGAAAAAAAAGAAGACTGAGATATATATGTATATGTACTTGTGCTACACGAAAGCTCATGAAAAACCGCAACCATCTCGCTTCCCCATCCCTCATAACCCCCCGCCTTAGTCCAACAACCCAGTTGAAATCTTCGATCCCGAAAAAAAATGCCAATTATCCCCTTTCCTTTCCTTACCTATACATATATAGAGACCCCGTGCATACCCGTTACCTCTCCAACCCCCCAATCCCCAACCCCCACCTCTGTTCCGACTTGCGTGCCTCCTTCCACCTCCTCACAGCCTGCACGCCGGTAACCGCCACAGTAACAAGGCCCAAAACCGCATTAAACGCGGCCATCATGTAGAAAGGCGAGCCGGGACCCGTACTATCAAACAGGGCGCCCCCGGCTTTCGTCAGGAGCAAGATGCCAAAGCCACCAAGGAGACTATATGTTCCTGCAATGGAGCCCTTGATGTGATTGTGCGAGGAAGATTGCGGTGGAATGCCCGCGACCGAGGCCCTGCGAGAATGTTCGGGGAGCAGCGAGGCAGTTTCGTCCACTGGGGTAATGGGTCGGCTATGCGGCGGCGTAGCGCCGGCAGAAGGATGATTCGTAGTTCCATGCATACTAGCAGCTCGAGACGGGGAGCGCAAGTGGGAAGAAGAGGAGGAGGAGGAGGATTCATCGTTGTTGATGCCGCGGCCAAGGAGAGCAAGTGAACATACTATTGCGCCGATTTGGCTGATACCGAGGAGGGCAACGATGAAGAAGATAGCGCCCGTGCCGTCGCTGCTCTTGTAGTCTGGGCTGGAAAGCGAGCCGAAGGCGGAGTAGCCTGCTACACCCGCCACGGCTGAGACTATGAGGGGAATATTGTAGCGTGGGAAGCGGCCGCAGAGGAAGCCGAAGATGGGGGCAGAGAGGAGGGCGATGAGTTGGCTTATTCCTGTCAGCATGGCAGCGAGTTTGTAGGCTTCTGGGCATGCGACTTTGATGTCTGAGGGGATGTTGGAGTCGACTTTGCAGCGGCCAGTTGCGAGGAAATAGTGGTTTGTGAAGAGAGGGATGAAGAGGGAGATAGCGACGGAAGAGGCACGCGCGACAAAGCCTCCTACGTATCCGAGTCCGATGTTGGGAGAGGTAAGGCCGAGGCGGACGCTTTCGAAGAAGAGACGTGGGTATGATAATACGACATCGCGTGCGAGGTGAGAATCGACATCTTTGTAGTCGCCCTTGTGGGTGAGGCGTTTCCAGCCTTTTCCTTCTTCGCCGGGGAGTTCACGCAGGCCGAAGAAACAGCCCAGGGCTACGAGCAGTGCGATTGCGCCAACGACATAGAAAGAATCTGCGACTGCCTGGGCGGGTCCCTCACCGGCATTTTGGAATTTCGTTGGTAGTGGAAGAAACACGAGAAGCGCAACCAATGCGCCGCATCCTGTGAATGTGCCAACCAAGCCAGCGATTTGCGATGTAGATGCGCTGGTATCTCGATTCGCTGGCTGCGGTTGCGTATAGTCCTCTGGCGAGCTTGACCGGAAGCGCGCAGGCGTAATAGTAAGTTCAGACGATATCGAGGCAACCGTCGCATGCGTCCTGCCACGGTCTAGGTTCGGTGATCGCGGATCGGGTTTGACATCTCTGACAATAGTCATAGTAGGCAAGATCGCAGTCACCATAGTCGCGCTATAACGAACATCAGCCTACATTCACCCGTTGACATTATCGAACTCACGTCGCAGTCCCACCCACACTAAACAGGATTCTCGCAAGCAGCAACTCGGGATACACATTCTTGGCCTGCACAAGCACCCAGAGCGCAACACCAACAATGCTATACCCGAGCACCGCAATGCTCCTCACACCCACTCTGTCGCTCAGCAAGCCCCACGCTGGACATGCCACCAGCGCAACCAGCTCATCTGCAAAGCCCAGTGTACCGACCGCGTCGCCGACATTATGCGACTGGCCAATGCGCTGGGTAATAACAAAGGATATGGAACTGTTCAGGAAGACGAGGAAGCTGATGCTGAAGAGCGCGACACCGAAGAGATAGGATGCGATTTGAGTTCGCGTGGCGGTGAATTGGAAACCAAACATGATTGGGCGATTTACAGCTCGCGAAGAGCTGGCTGGGCTATCGTAGGCGCATTGAGGTGTGTCGTTCGCGTTAGGCGTGGTGAGACTATGTCGTCGCGCTGCCGGTCCTCGGTCCGATGCGGTCATGGCAAATAGCTGACGACATGTGGCTGGTGCGAGGGCTGGTGCACATCACGTGAGTCAGGTCATGGCTTCGTCACAATGCTCACCGACGCTTATCAAGAACAATGCAGATATCACATAGTAAAATTCTGTGCTAGATATTATGATGGGAATAAATTTACGTGAATAAAAAAAATAATCTCCAAGAGGGATCCCAAGTCAACCCAAACGCCAAACCCACCCGAGCAAGTCGCACAACAAGAGCTGGCTGGATGCGATGACCATCATACACAGAGGCTTTTTGTTGGAGTATAAATACGCTTGATAAATGCTGCAGGGTAAGTACTAGTACCCCAAAGGGTTGCAAAGCACCGCCAATCGTGGAAAATACGCTCTACACCTTGCTCCAACCTACAGGCTGGCCGCGTCCCTGGTCTGCTCCCCAGTACTGCTTACTGTCAGGGAAGTCACCGTTCTCAACTCCTTCTCTGAACATGTCGCGGGCCTTCTTCACTCGCTCAGCGTTGCGAGGCCTGAGGTCAAATTTGAAAGGGATTGGCTTTGCAATCAGCAAGATGGAGAAGTCGAGTGTAGGATCTTCTGGCTTCTTGGTAATGTCACCCCATTCCATGGGTTTGTAATTGGGGTTGCTGGATTTAGACATCCTTGGTGCCGCATTACTGGCAGATTCAGATCCAGGATATGTGAATTTGGCGAGGATCTTCTCCTCCATTGTAGCTTCTTTGTTGTTGATTCCAGCGTTTAGTTCTTCGTTTGATATGGAGGCCTTCTCATTCAGACCATACACTTGCTCTTTTTTGGTCTCACCCGCCGATGATGGAATAGCAGAGTCTTCTGAACATTTCTTAATGTCAAACAACCATGCAACCGAGCCGATGCCGATGAGCATATCCTCGTCAGCCACTGTCTGGCCAGTGCACGTTCGTCTTCCGTAACCAAATTGTGTTGAGTTGATGATAGTAGGGTACTGTGTCAAAGGTTCCTGATATGTTGGATACTCTGGCTTCACCCATCGAAGAGGGTTGAAGACCTCAGGGTCTGGGTATAGATCAGGTTCGCGGGAAATGGCCCTGTGGTATTGTTAGAGCACTTCAGGTTTGACGGATTATGTGCAGAATTACCATTCTAGGGGATGTATAGTACTGCCTTTGGGAATATGGTAACCATTGTATTCGTCATCCTGGGTCAGGTAGTGGGGAATACCGGTAGGGACAGGTGGGCGCCAGCGCAGGCATTCACGGATGACAGCCCGAAGAAAAGGAAGGTTGGGTCGGTCTTCGGAGCGGGGTGGTCGATCACCACAGACGCGGTCAAGTTCCTCGTGCAGCATAGGCAGATATTGTGGGTAATGGACCATTGCCAAACAGAACGTTTGCATAGGAGCAGCGATAGTGAGAGCTCCTGCGATCCCGTGCATGCCGACAGCGTACGCACCCTCTGTATCAGATTTGAAGCCCCATTTGCTGCGAGTATCTAGGAATGTCTTCATCCACGATGGTGCTGCTTGTCCTGACTTAAGATCTTCGACAACCTGGGCCTGCATGGTCTGGAACCACGTGCGCTCAGTGAGTGCACGCCGTCTTTCCCATGCCTTGGGCGGTGAAAGCCAATCAGGTAGTGCCATCAAGAAGGGAAGCTTGTTACTCAGAGATCCTGTGGGAGAAACACCGATAAGAAGCTCACGTGCGCGTTGTTTCAGCTCGTCGCTGCCTTCGCTGTGACCCCAAGCAAGTCGGCAAGTGACGCGAGAGATGTAGGATTCCATAATGTGGTTGTATTGATCGGGTTCATCCAGCAGCTCGGCCATCATACGCTTCGATTCGAGCTCGGGGTATCGGTGGAAGGATGCCTTTTCCGACTCGCGCATAATGATGTTCGCAAACTTTCTTTGGCGTGTATGGCCGTCTGCAAAGGGGTCAGGACAGCACCACGATAGTCTTCAAGTGTTCATTTACCATTTCTGCTAAGTAACGGAAGATATTGCGCACTCGAACGGTTGTCATCTATCAGAGATGGGATGTGCGGCCTGTCAGAGTAGATGGCTGCCTTTTTGGACAGCAAGTCTTTTGCAATCTGATCCGTCGACACCCAGACGTGATTGTGCCCGGCTAGGTTGCATTGGTAGATTGGACCATACTGCTTACCCCAGTCCGAAAACTTGATGTATCCATTTTTGTCTGGGACGTCAGGTACGGAGCCGATGATTGGATAGCCTAGTTAACACGAGTTAGCCTGGGCATTTAGTGCTTCACCAGATGAAAGAAAAGCTCAGTGATGATCCAGGAATGGGTTCTGTGCACGAAGTCACTGTCTTACCCTTTGGACCCGGCAGTGGCTTGAGGCCGGTAGGTATTCTATTACGGCGGGACGAATCCCAAAACTTGTACAGTGCATATGCACTCAGTGAAGCAAGCGCTAATAGGAGGGTGTGGAATCCCATGCTGGCAAGCTGTATGCGAACAAAAGGGCACGCTGCC